ACGTCTGCGTCTCATGTGGTAGGAGGCACGCGCTAACTAATTTCAAAAATCCAATCTCAGCTGCGGGACAGGAAGAACACCCGGTCTTTGGCAAGCCCCTCAGGGAGAGCTTGAGACATGCCAGTGTCCAGATATCGACCGCCAACGCAAATGGAGACCTATATGTATGGGGATATATCCCCGTTGTTGTTGCCAAGTGGTACGTCGAGTTCTTCTGTGTTAAGTCGTTCGCGGATCGATGACTTTACTTGCGTAGTGGATTGTACCTCAAAGAGAATGGTGCGGAGCCCTTGTCCAGATTCGATGGGGTCGATGTTGATTCCACAATGATTTTATAATCAGCTACGGAGGTAGAGGGGACGTTTCGCGTCAATGGATCTACTAAGCGCATGCGGGATCTGCAAGCCGCATTTGAGGCCCCACCAAGAGTGCGTACGACTGTTCACCTAATGTTCGTAACACTCAGGTCCGCATAACCAGTACGGGAAATCCCTGGACTGGAAAAAGGAAAATTTTACGACGCATGACGTTGCTAGCGTCTTCCGCAGATATTTGACCCAAATGCCTGTTAGTATAACACTACGTTTATACTACGTGTTCTGATGGTCGAGTTTTCCACAGGAACCTGTAATACCGCACGATATGTATCATGATGTGAGTCCATTTTTTTATGCGTATACCTATTGTCTCGATTAATCGTGCTTCAAGTTCCGGGATGCCCTTGGTTGGTGGTGGCTGACAGCTCTAAGAGTCCCTAACCTAACATCTATTTGTAGCAAAACAGCACACCAACCATGACGAAGTGGTCACTACGTACAAGAGACTAATCCAGCGCATGCCACGCGCTAATCAATACCTCCTTCTCTATGTGCTGGACCTCTTATCAGTCTTTGCACGAAAATCAGATAAGAACTTAATGACAGCGACCAGTGCGTGCCCCCTGTCCCGTGCTCCGTCCAATAGACTTTTCTAACCCTCTCACGCCATCCCCGTGTCTGTGTTAGATCTTGCGGTTATTTTTCGGCCCGGCCTCATATCCCACCCCAATCATGAGTTGTCACCTGGAGAACACTTGTTGAGCCAGCAGGTCCTGGAATTCTTAATTGCGCAACAGGATTGGTTCCTGCTTGATATTCCGCCACCTCCGCGGTCGGAGCCCAGTACTTGGAGGGAGCGGCCTCCGCGTGTTGCTGCAGAAGAGGAACCAGATTTGGTTATTCCAAGCTCGGACGATGAGCATTCACAGGTGGGCGGAGGATGGAAGCTCGTTGGGCGAGAGCGCCGAATCACCCGGCGTCGGACGACGCTGGAGCGTGCTGGTAAGTCGGACCTGGCGGGGGTAATGTTGTAAACGATGCTGAGAAGAAACACAAATAGATTCGGCAGACAAGATCGCAAAGGCGCCTGAAGTTAAACAGCTGTCGCCTGTGGCAGAGGCGCCCATACCGAGACGGGAGGCTCAAGCTTCGAATGTGCCAGGTGTGAGCCGTAGTAGGACGATGCCGTCAAGGCGAGATGTGTCCGGAGGCTCTGTCACAGACGATGAGAAGCATCGAGCGAGGGTACTGAGGAAGCAGAAGAGAGTATCGGCTCAACCCAAGCAGGCAGACGCACCCACTCCAACCGGTGGGTAACCAGAATTCGGGAGCTCGTCTCAGGCTGGGCGTCATGGTATATACCTGAAGAGTTCACTTTGCGACTCTTCAACACAGGGATACTGATTCATCTTTCCATCCACTCTTTTTATATGGTCTTTTGCTAGCTGTTGTAACGCCGCATCTGAACACTGGGTGCCTATACTTAATTTCCGGTTGTTGTCGGTGGCGATCTATCATCTGGCCAGCAAACCGCAGCATGATACGTGATGGTGGAGCAGGGGATAATCATCAGGGCTACGTATGTGCACTATAGTTGGGCGCACCCTGAAAGTTTCCTCTAAGAATAGAGGCATCTATCAGGCCGCCTAGTCCCCATAGCTAAAGAAAGCATCATAAGAATAACTAGCCGCTGTTGCAGCCGCCCCCTTGCATCTCACATGGCCAAACCAAACACAGCATCGAAAAGGGCGAAAAAGGCCGTCCTCATTTGAAGCTAAACGAAAGATTTTTCCGTTCCTTTCGTTCATCCAGTCCCTTGTCACTTTTACTGTACGACGATGCAGCACGAAGCTGGAGGTTATTCGATGCAACAGATAACGCCATACCGTGACAACCCCGGGGCCAGTTCAAACCCCAATCTACAGGATTTATACTCAGGAGCCGTAAGAACCATTTCATTGCCAACCGACTATTAGCGTATATATATAGTAGTCTTCAATCGTGACCGAGTTTTCGTTTTTCCCTCTCCTTCCTCGTTGCTCCAACGCTGTTTCACTTTTAAATCACACCTACTCACTGCTGCGCAGCCCCACAGCCCATCAGGCATACACGCTCATTCCCCGTTCGACTCTGTGAACGACGTCTCAGACCCAGCAAGGAGTTCGCTCGCACAGACGCCCCTCGCAGCAAGCAGCTCGCCCTACATGTCTGCACCACTCAGAAACTACGAGAATCTCGACGAGGCCGTTCCCAACAGCCAGTGGCTGGAGGAGAAGGCCCGCAAATCGAACAGGCGGTCGAAGTGGGTCGTAAGTAGCTTAGTTCGCATTACGTGTCTGCACCCTGCCCATGGCAACGCCCTTGACAGGTCATTGGCTCTCTGATAACCATCCTTGTCCTCGTCGCCGTCGGTGTCGCTCTCGGTGTCACGTTGGGAAAGAAGAAGAGTAGTAGCGGCAGCAACAACTCCAGCTCGTCTACCCCGCCCGGAACTAACACCGCCGACCCTAGTAACTTCCAGAAGAATCCCGCTTTGAAACAATCCTTCTATGGTATTGCGTACACTCCTGCGGGCTCACAGCTGCCCGACTGTGGCAACACGTTAGGTGTGCATGGCGCCTTCTTTAGCGCGCTTTGCTAGACTAAAATTTGCTCTAGACCAAGTCATCGAAGACATCCAGGTAAGTTGAATGTATCCTGCAAGATTGATATCTCTTACACTCCATTAGCTTTTGTCGCAACTTACTACGGTACGATTTTTGCCCGTCTGGCGCTCAATACTCCTCGCTCATGAAATCCGTTGATAGAACATCCGTCTGTATGGTGCCGATTGTAACCAATCGTCGCTTGTCGTAAGTCAACAAATCTCCGCCATTGGCTGCATAGCTTAATCCCCTCTCAGCTGGCTGCCATTCAATTGACGAAAGTCAACATGAATGTCTACCTCGGCAATTACCCAGCGATCAACGATAATGGTGTTGCTTACCAAAGGCAGAAAGGGGAAATCCAAACTGCTATCCAGAACTATGGCGTTAACAACGTCGCTGGCATTACTGTTGGCAATGAGTTTATTCTTGAGTAGGTCTATTGGCCTTGTATCGTGACGGAGTGTTGACATTCGCCGTAAGCTATGTTACTGACCAAGGCCAATCGGATCCCAACGGCTCGGCTGGAGATGCAGGTACGCTGGGTGATGGCGTCCAAACTGACAATACTGAAGGCGCGTTGTAGCTGCACAACAACTCATTCCGTATATTCAAGACACTCGCACCATGATCCAAAGCATGAATCTCGGCAAGACGATCCCCGTCGGTAATGCCGACGCTGGAAGTTACTTCAACACCCAGGTTCTGGAAGCCGTCGACTACGGAGTGTGTACCCGCCCCGTTGATGACCGCCGCCACTGAAGTTGACATAACTCTGCGTCTTAGATGTCAAACGTTCACCCTTGGTTCGCAAACCAGACGATCGATAATGCCGCTGGTTGGACAGCAGAATTCTTCGCCACAACCAATGTTGCGGCCGCTCAGGCCCTTTCTAACCAGCCCAAGATGTACATCGCCGAGACTGGCTGGCCAACGGTTAGTCTGCTCCCTGACTTCCTTTAGCTGCGCAAGCTTATAGGTCTCCAGGATACGTCGCAGTTCAACTACAGCCCTAACGACGGTCCTTCACTTGCCTCGGTGCCCAACCTCCAGGTACCTTTTATTATTTCCTAGTCTTGAGAGTATGGTGACGAATGTTTGATCAGATTTTCCTTGATACGTTCGTGTGCCAAGGTATGTCCTTAAGGAAGGTTCGCACGTGGAGCGCTTGCTAATGAAGCCTCAACGGCACTATAGCTAACCAGAACGGCACTGGATACTTCTTCTTTGAGGTAAGTTTCAAGTAGATTATTTTGTCCTGGATGTCCGCCGCTGACGGTTGTTCTCATCACCTTTCCAGTACTTCGACGAGACATGGAAGGTAAGCCACCGATCAACATCCGTAAGGTATCACAGGCTGATCGCTCCCTCTTAGGCAACAACATACGGCGGTGTTGAGGTAACGAGTGTTCTATCTATTTTCTGAAGTTTTGTTTGAGTCTCACGATGTCTCTCTTCTCTCAGGGCTACTGGGGATTGTTCGATTCGAAGTAAGTGACCGCTCCACTGCCTGTGATCCGAGGAGAGTACTGACCATCTGACAGCCGAAACCTCAAAAACCTCACGATCCCGGATTGCGCAGTATGATCTTCGTCCATCGCTCTCTGTCCCCTTGCCTCTCTTCCCCATCGTTCTTTCTCGTACTATTGCGGACCACACATACTACGTTTTGTTTTCTACTTCACGGCCTTGACAGCTCTATCTATCTTCGTTATGCACGCATTTTATCTGGACCATAATATGGTGTTGTACTTGGATGTGATATGCCGCTGCCGTGACAAACTTTGAATTGCAAAAGGACTGTTAAAACGAGTTGCAGTCTCGTTTCTGCCCGTGTCGTGCTTTGGATTTGGCTTTGGGTGGGCCTTGGGCATACACATGCGGTGGGCACTAACCCGCCGTGCTACACTGAGATTAACCCGTTCTATAACAATATTGGTCACATTTAGAGTGATTGTGGGTCTATCCTCGAACGCAAGGTGACATTGGTTACCTCCTCACAGGTGGCGAAAAAGATGGCCACGAAGAATCAAAAATTTGCATCAGCCGGGAATCGAACCCGGGGCTAGGCCATGGGAAGACCCAATGTTACCATTACACCACTGATGCTTATTATGACAAGCTGTCGTACCTACAAACAAGAGGAACAAACCTGACCAGGCTACCAGTGTACAGAACGCATCACCATACCCTATGGTCTAAATACAATTAAAACAATGTTAATACATACCAGCTTCAAGCTGCTCTAGCCAGGCGGGTACTCAAACCATCGCGAGCGCCAAAACCGGTCCCAAAACGACATGCTCATCAAAGCTCAACTTCTCCACCTTGTCGAAATCCCGTGTGATCCTCATATCGTGTTCGTCAGCTCGCGTGCGGTCAGACTCCCCATCTGATTCTGCTGCGGTCTGCGTTTCCACCGACGCGGTGTCGGTATCCCCGTTCTCTGCCGTCTCGCTCGATGCGCCGGCGCCGGCGTCGGCCAAGTTCGGAATTGCTGGAAGAGGATGATCTTCCTCTTCCTGCTCTTCAGCGATGCTGCTCTCTGTGCGCGACATGACTGTAGGCCTCCTAAATCTGCTCCCACTCGTTTCCACATCACCTTCGCATCCAGAATCCGTGTAGGTGGTGGGAACCGAGTCCAACCCCATCCTCCTCGCCATCTTTTTCTGCTTCATGCGAGCCAGGCTCAGCCTACGCTCCTCCATCCATTGATCCTCGTCGACCTCAGACTCGAGTACCAACGAACGCCCGGCTGTCTCTCTTCTCATGACTGGCTGCTCAACGTGGGTGTACAAGTCGATGCCAGCGGCAGCGAGGACGCTCACGATGGGTGCGTGCGAACGTGTCGTTCGCATTCGGTGGGCGAAAGTTGCAGTCAGCCTATTCACTTTCATTGTCAGTCTCTCGTCGCGGGTGGGGGAGGAAACATACCCTGGTCCAAGCACGAACTCACCACCAAGTTGTGCAACGTCACCGCCTTTCTCCCACACAGGCATTCCCACACGCAGCGCATTCAGCACAACCATCTTGATACCACCCATGGGGCCGTGCCTGACGTAGCCACGACGCCTTGGCTCTGTCGAGTGTTCCGGCGGATGCAGGGTCATGCCGAGAGCGGTGTAGACACGCAAGGAAGGATCAGTATAGATGGCAAACGGAGTGCGGAAGATTTCTGTATCAAAGGCTGGTGAGCAAGCGACAGGGTGGTTGAGAGACTGAACCCACGTCGATAAGACTTGATCATATTGTAGGATCCATTGCCGATAACGACCAGGTTAACTCCAGCCTGTTTGAGAACTCGGGGGTCGGCGTTATCTGAGACAGAGAACATGTAGTCTTGGCAAAGAGGACACCTTTAAAGCGAGAGCCGCCGTCAGTTCTGGTTCAAAGTACTCCCTAAGCCAACTGACCAAAAATGCCGGATGAAAATCACAATTGTTTTTTGCTCCCTGAACAGATCGCCGAAGGGTACACGCAAGCCGTTCTCAGCGATGACTGTGTAAGAGGATGCGTCGACGAGCTGCCTATGTGTGGGTAAGGCATGTTCGTCAAAAGGCGGTAGGGGAGCAGGAGGTGCGGTCGACGAGCGGGTGATCTGGTGTATCTGACGTGGCGGCTCGGTCAGGTCATAATAGATGGGTGCTGTCTGAGAGCGTGTTGGCATGGCTTTCTTCGGTGCTAAAGGTATAGGCGCAGAAATTTGAGGAAGGGAATGCAAGTCGGAACTTCCGGGCTCGCTCAGATACCCAAGCTCGGCGTCCGTGAGAGGTTCGTACGCTAGGACCCCTGTAGATACATCTGAAACACCAAGGGGGGTTGGAAACGTTGTTGGAGATAGCAGTGCAGAAGACTTGCGTCGAGGACGAAACGTGTTCTCCTCTGCGACATGTTTCGTCGTTGCGGCATTCGATGCAGTGGGGAATGTGAGCAGGGACGCGTGGTGCCGTTTGCCGGACGGGTTTTCGCCAGGAATTTGCGACAGGCTGAGGCGGCTGCGGCTCTTCTTCACCAAGAGGCGAGCGAGTTTTCCGCCTTTTGGGCGCGGTGCCACTTCGGTAGAGAAGGTGGTTAGCCTCGCCTGTGACTGGCACTGCATAGACTGGCCCAAGGCGAGTCCGCTGTGGTTACCGTGGTCGAGCGTTGACGTCTGGTCCATTGCAGAGGGTTCGGCGGTGAACGCGGGAGGTGGGCAGTGAGTGCTGGCAAGGACATAAGCCTGCAAATTTGAATGTCCATATGGTGAGGTCCTAGGCGAAGCGGGAGCCGTTAGCCTAGCTTCTTTTCGTGAAACGGCAGATTGCGAGCGTCTCCGAATGGGAGGTGAGAAGGAAGTCTGAGAGTGCGGATAATCTTGCGAAGGAGAAGGCCACCGGGGCGTAAGTATCTCGGGTCCGCGCGCATAATCTTGCTGTTGAGTATTCTGGGTTAAGTCTACAGTGCTTCTAGTGGCCCATGTCGTGACTACCTGTAGCTTCTTCGCTGAAGAAGCTGATGGTGCAGCTGCTGCCGCCGGAGAACTGCTGTATGGATCTGGTGGGAATGGTCTACCGCCGGTATAGGGTAGATTGGGGAGGTGGGAGGTGGAGTGCCCGTAGAAAGTGAGCGCACTCGCGGTGCGACTACGCAGCACCGAGAGCGGGGCAAAAGGATCCTCAGGGTCGGGGCTAGGATACCGTGCATCGAGCACGAGACTGGGGGCGGGCTTGCGTCTAATGCGTGTCTGAGGGCTCGTCACGACATCAGGGGATACAGACATAATAAAATATAGCGATTTGGTCGATTATGGAGAGCCCAAGGAGAGCCTGCGAGGGCGGCGAAAGAAAGCAGGGGAATTAAGCTGAGGTCAGGCATATATGAAGGATTTTGGGCGTGGCTTTGGTGAGGAGATATGCCAGCAGCTGTACTGGCAGAACTGGGGTCAGGGCGGGCACGCGGCGTGCGCATGCTTCGGGGATCAGCTCATCCTGCCTGCTGTAGCTTGCACTGCCCTCTTATCCCCTCATTACTGGCATGTGAGGATTCGCTTGGGCTACGAAGACGAAGACGAAGCACTGATGCCAGCTAAGTGTAATGGCTTCTTTAGACCGACGCAGTCACGAACGAACTGGATAGTAGCCTAAAAGTGACATTTGGGTGACATGTATAAATTTCAGACAAGTCCACCGTGCCGACACTGTTGACTCCAAGACTTCAGTATCTACCTAATCAGAGACTAGACTTAACAAAGACATTGAACAATAGGATAGCGCTGAATGATCCACAACATGTAACCGAGAATTCTCTGAGATGTTCTCACAATATGCTTTGATGCACTGGGCAAGACATCATTCACTAACTTGCCCTAACAAGTCCCCGGCTTCTCGCCCCCCTCGGGTGCAGCCATGAGCTAAAAATCATCAGTGGGGACCTCGACTTCTCGGGACGTGGTGCATGCATACCTTGATCGTCTGAACAGTGGTATACACCATCGCAGCCATCCCAAAAACTCCCAGCGCAACGTCTGCGACCTTTTGTCTTCGGTTTCGAGCAACGGCGCGATAGTGCAACATTGGCGGGTACACATAGCATAGCGGTACGCTGGGGCCAACGTACGTCATTTCGTGACACAATTTAATATTACATCAGGACGTACCATGCGAAGCTCCCGATGAGTGCGACGAACTTGTCAAGATCTGCCGCACCCGCCCAGCTGATAGCCGTGCACACCATGACTAGCCCAAACCTGAACAAGTTCTTGAGCCACTTGATGCGTGCGTCGGCTTTACCGCTCCGAACGAAGAGACCATTCTCAAGAATTCGCACAGCAGGGAAGAACTGGAGTGGGATAGACAGGAGGATCGCGAGGGAGTAGAGGAATTGGACCTTGACGGGGAAGCAGTGAGCAGATTGCAAATGAACAGGGAGATGAATTTACGGATTGAGTGAATTTGCTGTCTTGATTGAGATTGACAAGGACGACCGCATTAACGTCGGATCCAAATGTGAGGTATGATAGTGCACCGGCACCACCAAAGAGGGCTACAGGGAAATCGGGTTAGGCGACTGCTTATAACAAGTATGGAAATGCAAAGGCTCACCAAGAAGTCCAATCATAACACCCGTCAGAACCTGCGGAAACTTTCGTGGTTCGCGCATTGCATCGGTGATCGGGATGACCTAGCCAGACAGCGAAGTCAATTTCGTCTTTGGACAGCACATACGCGCGTACTCACCAATCCTATACCCTCAAACGAAAACACAGCAGTTCTGACACGATCGTTAGAGAACAAGCAAACCAGCACACAAGTGACCTACCCAATGAACAGCGGGAATTCCTTTGGGTTGAACATTTTCACGTCGGCGAGTCCACGGTTGCCAATGATCGCGAACTCGCTCCCAAAGATGTACAACAGGCCGGCGAGGATGAACGCGTCGGCGACAAGCGCTGCGGTACTTAGCTTCGCAAGGTTACGTACTAGAGCGAGCGGGAGGAAGATGACGAGCTGTACGAGAATGAAATATGGCACCGAAATGAGCTTGAGGCAATGGGTCACCGCTAAGACGAATGCCTGGGCGAAGACGATCAATAAGACCAATGAAGTAGTGACATGGACGGTTTACCTGGAGGTTCTCGGCGACAAAAATGGTATAAGCACAGACGAAACCGATTTGAGATATTGTGATAGAAAAGAGAATGGCATAACGCATCCAAGATCCATACAAGTGGCCTCCCATATCTGTGCGGCGCAAAGTTAGACCGCGTGATAGGGCGTAAAATGCTTAGGGGCTGACCTCCGAATGAACCCGAAACGACGAACTTGGTCTGCACAAGGAGCAAGAACGAGTACAGTGAGATGAGAGCAATCACAGTGATGGTAATGACCGAGAAAAGAAGTCCTCCGTTGGCGAACCTGCGTAAAAAGACTTCGTCAGAGAAACTAATCTGAATCTGACGTCGAGTTTAGGGCTCACGCTTTGCCGAGGAACAACACGCCGGTACCAACAAACGCCTTGAGCAACTTCGAACCGATACCAGGTCAGATAACGTATGATACGGACGAAGTGTAATACCATCAGCACGGCCTGTGAGACCGTAGCGTCCCCGTGAGGGCCAACAGACATGCGCC